CAGCGACGTCACTGGTGGACCGCCAATTGGCGCCGGCCGGCCGGCCGGGCCGTGGGTAGTAGAACGCAGGGGTGCGAAGTGCGGAGTAGAGGCGGAATCGGAGTCTGAGTCGATTTTCGAAACCGGAGTCGGAGTCCGTGTCGGCGAAAATCCGTCGACTCCACCGTCCGCGCACCTGCCCTGCCAGGTCTGCGGGAGTCGGTCGGGGTCGACAGTTCTGTACGGAGTCGGGGTCAACTCAACGGAAGATTAACTGCGCAGCAGGCATTCTCAGAAGGCATTCTCAGTTTATAAGTAAGCCGTATAATCAGCTCACCGCAAAGTGTACAGGCATGTTGATCGCACTCATACACGCTAGACCTGTTGTGCCACACTGTACTTTGCGACAGATAGTTGAATACCTGGTGTTGTCCACGATCCGATATTGTATACCGATTTACGACACGTGTAACAAGAAGCAGATGCACCGTGTCAAAAACCTTGTCAATTTTTATACACGTGTGATCACCGGCAAGAAGAAGTTCGACGGGATATCGTCTGAAGCGGAACGACTGGGTGTTTTGCCTGCTCGTAGTCTTTTCAAGTACCACCAGCTGTCGCTCACCAAGTCGGTACTGCGTTTTGCCGAGCCGGAGATTCCGCGTCAGATGTCTGAACATGGCAATTATGACCGAGGAATGAGACGGGTAGGGCAGCTGCGCCTGCCGAGAGTGAAGAGTGGAACAGGGAAGTGCAGGATCGCCTATTTAGGCGCCAAAAGTTAAACAATCTGCCCGCAGCAATGCAGGATACCATGACCATGTCTCGTTTCAAGGAAGACCTTGCCCGTCAGCTCGAGGCAAATCGTGCGCATAACCATCACTGAGTTGTATGCTTCGCGAATATAGTATGTGTATCTGTAGTCTTATATCCACTTTAGAAACAAGTGTACCATTGACAAGTTACCATGGTAACTGAAAAGCCTCACACTTGTGAGGACGTAGCCGCAAATACACGAATACGAATATGAATTAGATGCAGCCATGGATGGATTATTTGCTGTAATTCGGCTCCCTATGAAAGTATCTGCGGACCGCGACCTGGACAATGGTTATAATAGTGAACCGGCTGCTGATAAAATCCGCTCACGGGTTGGTAGCAGACTTCGACCCTCCACCCACGTAAAGTATAAAAGCTCGTTGGTCTTCAATCTGCCTTGATCTCCAGTCTCCACATCTGCTTACTTTATCGACCAGTTACTGCAGCCGTTTTAGAGCTGCTTACGGCCGATAACAAGCCGGGCGTGGGCTACCTGCCGGCTGCCGGTGCTAGGCGCCAACAATCGAGTTGCTCGTGGCCGCTTGGCTGCCTGGCGCGCTGCTGCTGACATTACGGGGGGAGGTGATAGTAATGGGATCCTTTAAGTTCGGTATATGGTTAAGGCTCAGCGACACTAAGGGATTGTGTTGTGCTTTCGGTAGGACCGTCTAAATCACCGGTGTAAGGTCCTCATCGCCACCATTTGGAAACCTTTTAGAGGCACTGGTATGGCGTGTGCGGCCCTAAGAACCGCCGATATAGGACCTTAGGGCCTTATGAGGTGTTGGTGGAGGCCATCAGATTTGGGACTCCCAGAGACGCCGGTGTCGAGGCGCTGGTGAGGGCCCTCACAGTGGCCGTCATGGGCCCTCTGGTGTGTGGCTACAGACGTGTGTTGAACCATTAGAGCTGGTGGTCACAAATAGGCCGGTAATGGCCCTTAGAGGCCGGAAAGTGGCCTTCAGATGTCGCCAATGGGCCCCGAGAGGCCGGCAAGGGGCCCTCTAAAGCGGACAAGGGACACCAAAAAGCTGGTGTGGGGCTCTTATGGAGAGAAGTGTGACTCTTCGGAGCACCTAAGGTGTTCTTCCGAGCCCCGTGGGGCCCTTCTGAGTCGAAAGATACCAGCGTGGACCCCCAGCCGCCAACTGGCGTCGCAGAGCCCCTCGGGCCCGAGAGGCCCCTGATCCGATGGGGGCACGTGCCCCCCCCCCCCCTCCCCGCGGGTGCAGATAGAAAATGCAATCGGCGGTGCGGTACACAACAATCGCAATCATTCCTTATCCAGTCGCGAAGTCGCCCATCCGACCCATATTCCATGACTGTCAACCCTGGGACTCGGGTAGGCAATGCACCAGCAAAGGAATCACCTATAGGTGGATAAAAAAGTTACTTAGAGTCATAAGTTGTCGTTACGTTCAGTAATAACAACGATACAGCGCCAACTGTACCCGACGTACACCTTGGAGCCGGGCGCCGCGCGGTCTCCATCAGTGACGTCACGCTAATGCTCAGCGACCGGCCCATTGGAAATTGCGGGATGATTCTACCTCTCTTATACGGCCTTGGTGGCGATGACGAAATGCTCATCCGGTGTCTGCAAGAAGCTGCTGTCATCTATGCTCTGTGTCGCTCCTCACAGTATGGGTACCGAACTGGCAGTGCCCCACTACAACACAATCCGCAGCAGCCATCGCCTAGGCAAGGCATGCATCTGGCCACGGCAAACGATCGACTCATGATTAGTGTCAGCGGCGCAGGCCCAGCCAGTTATGACCCGCAGCCGCGCTCCTAACGGTAAGACAGCGACGGAACAAGCACCTTGATCTGTAAGCAGCGTGAGTTTGTCAAAAAGTTTTTAGGCCTGCTGGGTCGCTGTAGAAGAGATATACATACCCAGTCATACGACGCCTAATCGGCGTTCTCAAACAGGCACCCCCGAAAACAGTGCACTGGTTTTCGGGGGTGCCTGTTTGTGCAAACTGCCACTGCAGTGGCATGGTTTGAGTGTAATGGTCAGTTACGCGATTCGGTGACCTAGCCTGATGTGTTGTTGCTAATAAAAGTTGAAATGATGCGCGAGATTGATCTACAAATTGCAGGTAAACGAATATTTCACAACACGTAAAAACCATGGAAGAGTAGCCAACTTAACGAACAGTTCAAAATTCGAATACTACGACTTACTGTTATCTCTTTTCACCCCATCAGTCGATATGCTTCTGCGAGAACGTTACATTTGACTAGGTTAAATATGCATTTTGCAAACATTCACATCGTTTTCACTTTTGCTGCCCTTTACGCACTACATATTTATTAGTTGTAAATTCGACACATTTTGATCATTTGCGCCAGTCGTCAAAATCCCTTAGCCGAGGCCCCGCTGCCAGGGCGAGGGTTAAACTGTGAAATCGGCACGTGTGATGCGGCACAGTCTACTATTCCAGGCAACTGGTTGCCTGTGAAAAGTGAAACACCATTCTGTAGTCAACTGCACTATATGCAGCTCATATAGATCGGTCTGAAGAACGCGTGACAGTCACCAATAGCAATCTCGCTGGAAGAGGCTGACCCTCAACCCGCTGGAGCTGCTTAACAAATTAATTTCTATCCAGTGCATACCCATACTCAATACTCAGGCAGTGGAGCAAGCCATCCGACTCGTAACTTAGGCAGCATGCGCTGTTCTCATTGAGAGGGCACGTCTCGGTTACACCACATGTGTGCTAGGACGCAATATAGCAGTGTCATGGTCCGGCGAGCAGCCATGCAGGTGGCTGTGGTGGGCAGCTCACCTTTGTGCTCTCTCACAATATAGCAGTGTGGTCCGGCGAGCAGCCATGCAGGTGGCTGTGGTGGGCAGCTCACCTTTGTGCTCTCTCACAATATAGCAGTGTGGTCCGGCGAGCAGCCATGCAGGTGGCTGTGGTGGGCAGCGCACCTTTGTGCTCTCTCTCAATATAGCAGTGTGGTCCGGCGAGCAGCCATGCAGGTGGCTGTGGTGGGCAGCTCACCTTTGTGCTCTCTCACAATATAGCAGTGTGGTCCGGCGAGCAGCCATGCAGGTGGCTGTGGTGGGCAGCTCACCTTTGTGCTCTCTCACAACATAGCAGTGTGGTCCGGCGAGCAGCCATGCAGGTGGCTGTGGTGGGCAGCTCACCTTTGTGCTCTCTCACAATATAGCAGTGTGGTCCGGCGAGCAGCCATGAAGGTGGCTGTGGTGGGCAGCTCACCTTTGTGCTCTCTCACAATATAGCAGTGTGGTCCGGCGAGCAGCCATGCAGGTGGCTGTGGTGGGCAGCTCACCTTTGTGCTCTCTCACAACATAGCAGTATGGTCCGGCGAGCAGCCATGAAGGTGGCTGTGGTGGGCAGCTCACCTTTGTGCTCTCTCACAATATAGCAGTGTGGTCCGGCGAGCAGCCATGCAGGTGGCTGTGGTGGGCAGCTCACCTTTGTGCTCTCTCACAACATAGCAGTGTGGTCCGGCGAGCAGCCATGCAGGTGGCTGTGGTGGGCAGCTCACCTTTGTGCTCTCTCACAACATAGCAGTGTGGTCCGGCGAGCAGCCATGCAGGTGGCTGTGGTGGGCAGCTCACCTTTGTGCTCTCTCACAACATAGCAGTGTGGTCCGGCGAGCAGCCATGAAGGTGGCTGTGGTGGGCAGCTCACCTTTGTGCTCTCTCACAATATAGCAGTGTGGTCCGGCGAGCAGCCATGCAGGTGGCTGTGGTGGGCAGCTCACCTTTGTGCTCTCTCACAACATAGCAGTGTGGTCCGGCGAGCAGCCATGAAGGTGGCTGTGGTGGGCAGCTCACCTTTGTGCTCTCTCACAATATAGCAGTGTGGTCCGGCGAGCAGCCATGCAGGTGGCTGTGGTGGGCAGCTCACCTTTGTGCTCTCTCACAACATAGCAGTGTGGTCCGGCGAGCAGCCATGCAGGTGGCTGTGGTGGGCAGCTCACCTTTGTGCTCTCTCACAACATAGCAGTGTGGTCCGGCGAGCAGCCATGAAGGTGGCTGTGGTGGGCAGCTCACCTTTGTGCTCTCTCACAATATAGCAGTGTGGTCCGGCGAGCAGCCATGAAGGTGGCTGTGGTGGGCAGCTCACCTTTGTGCTCTCTCACAATATAGCAGTGTGGTCCGGCGAGCAGCCATGAAGGTGGCTGTGGTGGGCAGCACGGTGACTATGTGGGCAGCTCACCTTTGTGCTCTCTGGCCAGTCGCGTTAGTGCGGCGGCCGCGTGCTCGCTCTGTCTGGGCAGCGGGGGCGGCGGCTGCTCGAACTCGGTGTCTCCCAGGCCGTCCGAGCCGTGGAAAAGGTCCGTGGTACCCAGCTTGCCATTCACCAGGCCGCAGTGTGCTCCGCTGTATATAGGAATCTACCGGCGAAACACGGCTCTTACCACATAGCGAACATACGGTGAATATATTATATCGTTTGGTAGTTCATGCTTCTCTGAAAAGGTACGGCTCTCGCGAGATTATGCGGTAGGTTTTGCACTTTTACATTTCCGGTTATATCTCAGAAAGTAATCGATCTGCGATGAAGCCATTGTACACGATCGTGGCCGGCTTGTGAACCGACAAGTCGATCGCATCTTCAACACTTAAAAGCTTAAGACGACGAAGATATAGCCTGAAGTACACTAAATTTTCTAGGTGCAAAACCTACCGCTAAAACCCGCGAGACCTGTACGTAGAATATGTCGATCAAGACAGCCCATATTCAGCCCGGACTCAGCCCAGATTCGAGACACCTCAGATCAAGTTGAAACTTGCACACAATAAAGGCTGTGAGTATGACAAATGAACCATTTGAAAGGGAGAGGCAAAACCAACTGTAAATCCCGTCTAAAAGAGCCCCATCTTTCGGTAATTATTTTTGACACTCAAATCCAGCTAATCACGTGCTGCTACGTGGTCCAAAATCCGAGTAAGACAGCGTGAAAACGCAACCCCCCACCCCCACCCCCACCCCAGCACTCTATGGAGAAATCAGACTGCACCAGCAGGAGGCGGGTGAAGGGCTGGTTGCAGCCTCCGTGCCCGCCACCCCGGGTGAAGGGCTGGTTGCAGCCTCCGTGCCCGCCACCCCGGGTGAAGGGCTGGTTGCAGGCTGCAGCCTCCGTGCCCGCCACCCACGGGTGAAGGGCTGGTTGCAGCCTCCGTGCCCGCCACTCACGTCCAGCCGGTTGAAGGTGCCGAGGATGCGGCGCGCGTTGCGGGTGCAGTGCTCGATGGTCGAGTTGCCGAATGTGACGCAGATGGCGATGAGGCGCAGCTCGCGGCGCCGGTCGGCCGCCAGCACCATGCCGATGGCCTGGGCGTCGTCCACGCCCGGGTCCGTGTCGATCACCACCGGCCGGGGATGGGCCGCTGCCGGACCGAGCCGCGCCCCCGCCCCAGCCACAAATCAGTGCAGAGACAAACAACATCCTCGCTGCCGGACCGGGCCGCGCCCCCGCCCCAGCCACAAATCAGTGCAGAGACAAACAACATCCTCGCTGCCGGACCGAGCCGCGCCCCCGCCCCAACCACAAATCAGTGCAGAGACAAACAACATCCTCTGAGCAGTGTCTGTCCGGGAGTGTGGGCCCGACGGCGCACCCCGCAATGATATTGTTCATAAAATTCACTCATAATGCTCAATAATAATGTGCTTAAATTTATCAAGGAATTTATCACTATAATCACTATATCACTATATAATACAATTTTAGCTCGAAAGTATTGATAGACTTAGTATTGATTAGTATCGAAAGTATTGATTTAAAAATTCAATGGGAATAGAAATCTTCCGTCCTGTGAAGTAATTAGCTATCCGTCGTAGGCATCGGCTGATATCCGGCATTTGATGTAATGCCTAGGCGTTGCGTGGAATGCTGGCAAAGCCTGAAATCGTCGGAAAAATTAGTGCGTTACAACGAATGCCCGATTTTTTTTTTTTTTGACATTTCACCTAGTGCCAGGCGGAGACCAGGTAGTCACTGAAATATTATCGAAATTAACTGAGTACACCCGTTCCCAAGGCATTGCATGAAATGCTTTAGTGACGACCGGTACGTTTTGTAACGATTACCGCAAATGTGCGAGTTCCCGTGCCTTTTTCGTATATAAAGGTTTCTGGCTCGGCACTAAACCAGACCAAACACCACCTAACCCATACCAACCTAACCTATCTACTTTTCACATAACACGTTCGGTTACGTTTGATATGTAGGTTAAAGTAGGATTTAGGCCTTGGTTTATAGGTTCGGTAAGGTTAGACTAGATTATGTTTGAGTTAGAAAGGAACTTGTTCCGAGGAGCCTACATATATTTAAAGACGGTGAGCTTTCGGCAACTGGCATTTATCAAACCAACGTGATAGCTGATAAAGGCCAGTTTGATATGGTCAGGCGTGATATTTTTATAAAGGCAAGTGGCCGAAAGCTCTCCGTTTCTAAATATCGGTACTTTTCGATTTTTACACTTTTTATGTCGAGGAAAATGTCAATCTTGTTTATTAGTTTAAGTAAATTAAATATATTCCTCGCTAGAGCACTTAACAATAATACTAGATCCAAGGGGATTTGAACCGGCCATCCGTAGTTCAATATCTGGTATCATACACCATCATCCCGTCTCCCACCACACAGTCGGCGATTCAGGCGTTCTAACGCTTCAGGGTCCGGGCACAACATTTAAAAATGTAACCAAACAATAGCTTATTGTGTAGCCAGATATCCTAGCATGTCAAAAATGATGTCATTTTTTACATTAACCCTCGCCCGTATAGGGGGGGGGGGGTCGAACGGACCCCCCATGGTTTTTCGCGAATAACTCGCGTAAAAAGCGGCCGATCGCGACGAAACTTTCATGACCCTGACCCAAATGACCTTTGACCTGTGACCTACTTTAGAAGGTCTCAGACAAATGTAATGTTTAGAAGGTCTCAAGACAAATGTAGAAAAAAACTTTTGAAGAAGCAAACAAATGGTTCCAAGAAAACAGTCTACGAATCAATCCAAAAAAGACAGACGTTCTTATCTTTCGTTCACAGCAACGGAGAGACTTGTCAAACTTAGAACTGAAATTTGGTGAGTCAGTGGTGCATCCATCTCAACACACCAGGCTTTTAGGGGTTGAAATAGACCAGCATCTTACATTCCAAAATCACATCAATGTCATTGTGCGCAAGTGCTACGCGACACTAAGTGGTCTCTCGAAGATGGCACGCAAACTTCCTCAGAGTGTAAAAAAGATGATCGTAGAAATGCTCGTACTGCCGCATATTGTTTACTGTATGACAGTGTGGTCTGGTTGTGGGCTGTCACAGCGTCATCGGATTCAGAAAGTGCTAAATCATAGTGCACAGATTGTCACTGGGTCTCGGAGATCCGCTCACGCTTCACCCTTGCTTCAGAGGCTTGGATGGCCAAGGCTAGATAATCTTGTCATTGAAAGTGACCTGGCGATGGTTCATAAAATTTTGCAAAACTGTCAGGTGCCAAAGTGTCTTCGCGATAGACTATGCTATCGTCATGATGTTACCGGAAGAGTCACACGTACGACTCGCGCGAGCTTGCTTCAGGTCCCGCGCGTACATACGGAAAAAGCGCGACGTTTCTTTGATTTCCGCGCTGTGTCTCACTGGAACAGGGCTCCAGCGCAGGTCAGGGGTGCTAGGACCTCAGCTGGATGCCGAAAACGAGCGCGGTCGTGGCTCAGTGACTCTGAAAACTAGTCACCTGTACTGTCAGTAGTTACTGAGAAAAAAGTGGTTTAGAATTACTTTGTGTTTATTGTGCTCGTCATGAACTTTGCCGCCATGAAGATGCGATGTTATGTGTGCTTGTCACTTCAGCACTTTGTGATCATTACTGTGTGACCGGAAGAGCCATTGTTGTATGGAGGTCATAATACAAGAATAATAATAATAATAATAATAATAATAATACTTTGGAGACCATGTTTGGCTGGAATCGCGATTCGGCGTATGTCGGCTCGCATTAGCCGCGCGTTTGCAGTCTTTTCGTGGTTTCAAGCGTTCAAACATGTGATATGATGTTGCCCCCATGCATTACGGTGGGTGTCAAGGTCACCTGAAGGTCAGGTCAGGTCACTGACCTTTGATGACCTCTGTTCACTTTTCGAGTTTTACATGTTTCTAGGCCAGTTTTTGGAGCTGAATTCGAATTTAGCAACCATATGAACATTTACGAAGTAGTTTTGGTGCCTTTTGTAACATGTTACGAAGCTGTCAGAGTCGGTTGCCATCTACTACGAATACCCTTACTGGTTGACCTGACCTGACCTGACTCGACCTGGCCTAAATACATGAAGATATCATCTGTGATCAAAACTAACATGATATTCGTGATCAGCACCCCGAAAAACCCCATAGCAGCCACACTTAACGACGTTCTAACAGGTCCCGATTTTCCCGCCTTTGGGGTCATTGACCTGACCTGCAAGGTCAACCAATGACCTAGAACCTTAAAATTGGGTATCATCGGCTTCCTCTCGTCACGGGCAACACGCTCGTTTTTCCGCGAAGCTCTAGCTCGATCAGGGGCGAAACGGCAAGGGGGGTCCAACGGACCCCCCCCCCCCCCCTTATACGTTCGCGGCTGGAAAAAACACCAATACGGGCGAGGGTTAACCAAGGCATTTTCAAAGCATATGCATCTAATCACGATCCAATCTCGAAAGGCTGAAATGCCCGTCTCTGCTTGTAATCCGGTCCTCATTATTGCGTGACCTGTGAAATCATGAACGGTGCCCAAAATACGATTGCATATAATTTTGTTTCGTACTACATAACTTGCGGAGAATCATGCGCCCAAAAACTAAGTTTCAAAATGCCTTTAATTTTGTATATTGTTTGCACTATACCAACCCTTTCAAAATGCATCACGCAAATACTGCATGTAAGGCTTCGGTAATGCGCATCTTTTGCAGTCCACGAGAACCGGCAATTAAAACACCATTTCATAAAAGCATGATCCTTGGTTTCAGTACCCTGCTAATATCAACCGCTTTTATTTGCTTTTCTCAGAGTTATTAGAGTTTTTCTTAACCCTCGGCGGCCGAGGGGGAGGGGCGGGGGGACGGGTACCACTGGCGGTCGCAGCCGCTAGCAAAAGGGGGGGGGGGGGCAAAGTCACACTCGCGGGACATAACATTTATCCGTCACCGGGGGGGGGGGGGGGTGATCGCCGATCGGCTAAGTATTTACGTGTGTAGCAAAATCTACGCTACGAAGCGCCGCGCAGTTGGCATTTCTTATGCTATATCCATGTCAATCTTGCGTAAAATTTTCGAACTCAGTTCCAGGCAAGGTCATGACCTGACCGGAAAAGGTCATGTTGCAAATCAGTCGATCTGCATCATCAAGCCGAACACATCTAAGGCGTTTTCATCGCTTTAGCATGCCTCTATCGGAAGTTATTAGCAAAAACTGTTAGATACTATTCGTGACCTGAGATGACATCGGGGACATAACGAGGGGTCACAGGTGCCATTTTCCGGTTCAGTGTGTCAATTGTACCCGCATCCCGATGTTTGAGAGTGTCTAGAATGGCGTTCGTGCAAAAGAGACGCTTTTCAATTTTCTCCTGCTGACTTATAATGGAGAGACCGCAAAATTGACCTGACCTTAGGTCACCGATATCAAAATTCCGAGAGAACTGTTTTTTAGATATTGTCACTCTCATCAATCGGTGAAAGTTTAACCCTTTTACTGGTGGGCTCTCTGGACTACGTTAACTGGTGGAGGAGGGCCGATTCGGCCCCCCTTGATATCTCAACAACTATACATAGTGTAAATATAGTAAAGAAAAAAAAATAGTGTAAATGTCTGATCTTAATAAGACAAACGCCATTCGATTGCTCTCATCGTGAACTTTCAGATTGAATTAAAAGGAAAAAAAGCTCAAAGTTGGGGGTCCTGGAAGCAAAAATTTTCGAAAAATCGCGTTTTACACCTTATCACTAAAAATGCTATATAACTTCTTCATTTTTTGACCGATTTTGATGAAACTTCAGGAAACCCTTCATAAAGAACTGGGCCTTCATATATATTCCAGTATTTTGGATATTTCAAAAATCATAGGCGGATTCATCAGGTAAGCTAGCTTGGGATGATGTTTTGAGTTTTTGTCATGGCATATCATGTGTCTTATGACATGATGTGTCACATATCATGTAAAATATGCAACGTGAGCACAAAATACACGTTTTCGTTACACACAAAAAAATAAATACACTCTTCGGTTCTTCGGAGCCAAGTACTCCCATTAACCCTCGCCCTGGCAGGGATGGGGTCGATGCGACCCCCCCTAAGGTTTTTCGAAGATAGCGTAAAAACGGCGGCGCACAGCGCCGCCAAATTT